CAGGAAAACAATAGTGGGAATACTGAATCATCATTTCCACAAATAGAAATACCTACATTTGGTTAATTTTACACTTTGTGGTATTTCTGCAAAGCCTCTGTCTCAGCTCTCATGACACAGAGTTTCTGTGTGAATGTGTGTGTCAACAAGCACGTCATCTCCTAAAACACTGTCTAGCCAAGGGTGTGTGTGCGTGCGTGTGCGTGTGTGTGTGTGTGTGTGTGTGTGTGTGTGTGTGTGTGTGTGTGTGGTACTCACAGCGTAGGCTTTCAGAATGAGTTGAATAACGTTTCCAGAATCATTGGACAACGTGCCCACTGTGGTGCCAGGAATCAGCTCGCTGTAGTTCTGTGGGCAACAAAACAAATAGAAAAAAGTTAAACCCAACTGGTTGGCCATTTTGAATTGAATTGGCTCCAGAGGTTAATCAGTTTTAGAGGTTCATTCAGTGCAGAGGCAAAGTGACAGTCACCTGGTAGAGTGGAACCACGGGGTTGGTGACGGCAAAGATGAGGTTGATGTTGTTCTCCGACATCTTCTCCGTGATCAACGCAAGAGACGGGTAATCCTGGGACAAATCAGATCGAGTGATAAGGTCGAACGAAAAGAAAGACCGATTCTGTCAATAYGTGTGTTCTCTTTGACCCAGTTTAAACTAACCATGGTGGTAGACATGCTGTAAATATTCTCAGAGTTCAGATGACACTTCCCGTCATTTGGCTGCACGATTCCAGCCAGACGACCGTCCAGAGCCACGTGGGTTTTGGCGTCTGARGTGAAAATCAGGAGGTGGGAGGCACCGGGACGCCAGCCGATCCGTTCCTTGTTTCCATAAAAGCAAAATAAAAAAAATAAAAAATATTATTTCAAGAGTAATTCAAGTGTTGTGTGTATGGGGTGCCAAGTGTGAAATAAAATAATAAAATGTCATTTAGCTCACTTTCTGAGTGTAAAATCCTAGTTTAAAAAACTTCCACTAACATAGTTCACTGTTCTTACATTTAGCAATTTTTTTTCTAAATTTGAAATGTTAAATGTGTAAAACTAAATGCAAACGTTAAATGTAAACGTTGTGGATAAATGTTGAAGTTTACATTTAAATATTTGAAAATGGAATGCAGCCTTTGCTGATGGTGATCAGCTCRTGTTATAACATYATCAYCCTGCAACAAAAGCAACCACTACTCTGTTAATGCTGCTAATGCTGCTAATGCTGCAAACGCTGCTAATGCTGCTAATGCTGCTAATGCTACAAACGCTGCTAATGCTGCTAATGCTGCTAATGCTGCTAACGCTGCTAATGCTGCTAATGCTGCTAATGCTGCTAACGCTGCTAATGCTGCAAACGCTGCTAATGCTGCTAATGCTGCTAACGCTGCTAATGCTGCAAACGCTGCAAATACTTTCCTACAAGACATTGCAGCCAGTGTCCGAGCTGCATGTCAAATGGCTGGACCACAGGTATCATTCATAATGTTTTCAACAAACACATTTTGAATTATTTAAAATACTATCATCATCAGCGTTAGCATTTGATTTTGTCTCAGGATGATGATATCACAGCAAAAACTTTGCAAACAACAGCAAACACTGTATTCCATTCGGGAATTCTTAAATATAAGCTGCAACATTTAAGATTTATTTTTTTAAATTTAAATATAGGATTCAACGTTTACATACATTATTAAACATTTACATTTACTATTTAGTAAAAATTAGCATAATGTAAGAGAAGCATGTAGGACTGTGCACTCAAAAAATGAGCTATATAACAAAATGTGTTAAATTGGCGTTTATTTTACATTTTTTTCTCCACTTGGCACCCCATATGTGCATGACTCGGCCTGATGCGCCCACCTTGCACACGGCGGCCTGAATGATGGCAT